CCCCATAGTAAGGGATGTTTATTTATAGTAAAATTTAAAAATACTTCGAAACTGGATTTAGTACTAAGTAAACCTTCGAACTCAACCAAAAGTAGTTTTTCATAACAATTTTTGTTAAAGCTCGAAGGAAGTTTACTTAGTACTAAATCTAGTATTTTTGTTTGTTTACTTTTATATAAAATTTTTTAAGCTCACGCGCGTACTCGAAATAACGCGCATATACTCAAAATAACGCGCAGGTGAGCGTTATTACGTGAAAATACGGTATGTTGAAATTTGGATTACTAGTTATAAAAGAATTAAGCTTTAAAGTAAAGATAATTTGATTTTTTTACTTTATATGCATATATATAAATTACTAGTAAATTTATATATATTGTAAATTATATAGTAAATATTTTTAATAAGGTTATTATTAATAAATTTTTATTTTAATAATAAAATAATTAAATTAATTTTATTTTTATAAATCCTATTATATACCTAAAAATTATATTGAATTAAAAAAATTTAAATTTAAATTGTAAAAAAAAATTTTTCAATCATAGCTATTTGAGGTGCAAATCTTTTTACACCGGACCATAGCTTATTTTTAACACTTTATACTCACCTAATTCTGTAATTAATGTGAACAATATTCATGAACTTAATCTTATTTAAACACTCAATTCATAATATTCTGGTTTACAATCACGTATTAAATTAATTTTTTTTTTACATTCACGCACTAAATCAGTTTTTTTTTTACACTCATGTACAATTAAAATTTTTTTACACTCATCAAAATAAGATTTAATTTGATGAATGTTTATTACTTAATTTTATTTTGTTCACATTAATTTAGATAAGCAGAAAAAATTTATTAATCTAAGTGTTTAGAATAAGCTACTCAAGCTCATGAATATTTATTATTAATTTCGGTTGGATCATTTTAATTTAGAGTGAGTAAAAAAATTAATCTAGCGCGTGAGTGTAAAAAAAAGTTTAATTTAATGTGTAAATTTTTTTTTAAAAAAAAAAGAAAAATTAATTTAGTGCGTGAATATAAAATTTTTTTTTTAAAATTAGTGCATAAGTGTAAAAAAAACATTTGGACTGATACTGCCAGATCAAATGAAGCATGGATACGTGTGGCGAAAATATCAAGGTGAATAAACCAAGATATGATAAGAATGATGAGTATGAAGTGCGACGTGTATAATGAAAATATAAGCAAAGATAATAATAATGAAATAATATGTTGAAAGTCCTAAAATCGGCGACTCTGTCACTAGAAGAAAGTATTTCGTGTAACCAAAGTTTAGGTTAAGTTGGGTCGAAAAAGGCGTGTTAGATTTGGCGAGTGGTTAAACAAGGTTTCGGAATAGTTTTAGGAGTCTTATTAACGACTTAGCGAATATAAGAATTTAGGGCGTATTATGTTATTCGTTTAGTAATAAGATTGTACGTTTATTAGAGATACTTGCATGATTATAGCAAAGGCGGGAGTTATTTTTCCCAAGGGCCAGAAGGCTTTTATTTTATAATGATTATTTTCTGATCCAAAGATGATGACTTTTGAACTTTATTAACCCGACTTCTATTTTTTGCAGATACAATATAGTCGGAAAAAGCTTATATCATTAGTAAATGTGGGGCTACTATGTGGAAAATTCGAAGAACAAATTGATTGGAAAAAGACGGCTTCCAACAACATATCTATCTTAAGAGAAGCAATAAAAGTATGTCTCAATATGATTAGTGAAAGATAAAGAAAGTGGTAATTGATTGTACATTGAATATTCTAGAAAGAAAATACTCCGGCTCATGACCATCTTTTCAAGAAAATAACTGAAATAAATATTGATGATTTAACGCCTGATAACCCATTATGCAATGGTACTGTCGGCCTAAGCTCAGATAAATTTCAACTTTCAGAAGGTGACTATGTTGCTCTTGTGGTACGTAGGAGTAGTATTAGGCTGAATGAATTAATTTCAAGTATTAATTACGATTGAGATTAATTAACTTACAACTTTTTACAGAAAGAAAAAGCGTGCATAAGAATGTTAAGTAAAGATAATGAAATAAAGAATATTTGTAGTGATTTTGTAGTAAGAAGAAACGAAGTCCAAAAGTTGAAAAAGTTTGTACTATCATCAATGGAAACAGCAACACATAATCAATGGGTTGAGGAGGTTCATGAAAGGGAACGTATAGCGAAGATTATTACTGACATTCTTTTACAGGAGATAAGATTTAACGCACTTCGTAAAATTTCTAGAGGTTCCGAAAATTCTTTCATGGAAATTATATCCCATTTGATAGATGCTACCATGTACCACCTACCTGTAGAATGTGAGATTGATGTAACAAGAGCTGAGCGACAAAGTATCGATTAAAATCGATCATCATATTTATTGGCAAGTTGCTTGCAGAGAGTGTCCCTGGCACATAGGCACACAACTACTCCCCCACCAATAAATCAAAATTACACATCGATCTAAAAAAAAAAAACCAAA